TTTTTTTTTTACAATGGCAGTTTTCAATTTGAGTAAAATCAAGTATTTTAACATTACTTAAAGAGACTTTCACATTTTGTTCTACAACCAAAGCATACCTCAAAAGTACCTCTTTAATTTAATTTTATTGTTCTGTGCCAAAATAACAGCTTAGTTTCTAGATTTTTGCATATGTATCTTGATAACAGCATAACATCCTGAAACTAGTCTGTGAGAAACGCCCTAGAATCATGTTGAAATTCTCCATGTGAAAATGAAGATACAAATCAACAGTCTTATCTTGATGGTGTTCACACAAAGTCAATATTAAGTAAACCAGTTTGACGTTTATCTTGATCTTTCAAATATTTGTGCAGGGTTTACAATCATCAACACCCAGAGTTAACTACACAGAGGTGGTGGATCAGCTGTTTTCTCTCTTCCCCGATAAAGAGCACTACTCAGACGCCAGTCCAGATCGCTGCAGAACCTGTGCTGTGGTGGGAAACTCTGCAAACCTTGTGGGATCCCATTATGGGTCTCTCATAGATTTGCATGATGTTGTCTTTAGGTACTAGAAGAACAGATTATTACAGAGAATAATCCGATTAATGTTCTCTACAACAGTGGCTCTTCTTTAGGAATAATTCTTTAGATAGCCTATCAACACCCATTACCTGTGTTATTCTCTCAGGTTAAATAAAGGCCCGACAAAAGGTTATGAGAAGGATGTGGGGTCTAAGACGACTCACCGGATTCTATATCCTGAGAGCGCTGTGGACTTGGACAACTCCACCCATCTTGTCCTTTTTCCCTTTAAGATTCGTGACATGCAGTGGCTCATAAGTACTTTCACCACTAGACACATTACACAGTGAGCATTGTTAAAAAAAACAGTTAAATAAATATGAAATTACATTTTCATAATTAGTAAGCCATCGTTTTGTTCCTCAGCACCTACACACGAGTCAAGTCTTCAGTCAATGCAGACGAGAACAAGGCGAGTATCCATGTCATAATGAAATGTATGATCAAGAGACGGATTATTAAGCCTTAAAATAAGCAAAACAATAATGTTTTTGATTCTGTCTGTTCAGGTGATGATCCTCCACCCTGCTTTCATAAAATACGTCTATGAGAAATGGCTCCTGAAACATGGCAGATATCCATCTACTGGCTTCATTACAATATTATTTGCCCTGCATATATGTGATCAGGTAAAACTGTTTGCATTTTCAGTTTAGACTTCTAATTTGTGAAAGACACATGATATATTAAAACAAAACAAAAGGTACACATTAAGCAGAAATGTAAATATTTGCCACCTAAAAGTGGCCCTAAAATAATTTGCATGTGCACACAAAATTTGATTTTAACGATAATCATCTTCTTAAATAACATCAGTTTTATTCAAATTTGGTTTACATGGGCTTTTCATCCCATATGACTTTCAGATTCAATTTTCTATTATAAATGGGTTAGAATTGTTGCATATTTCCAGATAGATTATTGCATTCAGATAGAATTGTTGCATATTTTCCAGATAGTTCCAGAATAGATTTTGTGCCACAGATTCACAAACGTTCAAGAAATTAACAAATAAATAGAATGAAATCTACAAATATATACATTTTATTCACAAATATACTGAGATTTACATATAAAAAAGTACAAATATATTTTTATGTCACAAACACAACTTTGCGGCATTTATTTGTGGGTTGTGTCCTGTACATTAAGGATAGCTGTCTTTGCATTTGTGCATTGCTGCACACATTTGTGGATTTCTTACTGTGCATTTGTGTATTTTAAAACATTTCTAACATTAAGATGCACACAAATCCACAAATAGGTAGACTCCACCCACCATCTACTTAAGCCAATCAGATAACAGCCATATAGCACTGACCGATTGTAGCACGCTCTCACTCCAACCAATAATGTTTTGCATTACAATCAGGGTGGGAGCAGAGTCAGTAACTAACTGTGACCATGAAGGGGCATGTTCAGTTGGCCACAACAAATGTTATAATATGTCGTGGGTAGCCACGATCATTTTATGAAGGTAACGACATCCTTATGCCGTGACCATGCGACCCTATGTTTAGGGAACAACATTTTCTCGTGGCCAAGATTTTAATGCGTAAGCAAACTTTATGATTATCCCAGGTTGCTATGGTTATGCATTAAATTTGTGGCCATGACATAAGAATGTCATCAAAATGATCTCAGTTCGCCAACAACAAATTATCCCATTGTTGTATGAGTTAATTTTTTATCTTGTGGCCACAACAAATCTAACTGAACTGAACATGTCAACAAAATATGCATGCAACAAATCTAACTCCATATTATAGTGTTTCTCAACGGGGGCATTCAGAGAGCATGGTGGGGCACTAGAAGCAATTTTTAAATGTGGAATTTACCCACCAAAATTACCATTAATTATTTTTTTTGATTAATTTAATGGATCCTTGAATTAAAGTAACAATTTCTTAAAAATCGTAATGACATTTCAATGGTATTGTACATATAATAACAGTCCTCATTATAAACACAAAATAATAATCAACTTTAATATTCA